ACCTTTTGGGGTCAGGTCAGTTTGGTTTTCGCACGCAGCTCCTTGCTTGATGTTGAGTTCTTGTCTTGTCATTGTTTGTTTAATTTTGTATGCCGGATATCCCGGCGTGTTTTTCCCATTGTCCTGCTGTCAACGAAACGCCAACAGCAACAGCAACAACAATAACTATAACAGTGGGCGTGGCCACAGCCTCCTCCGTTTGCCAGACTTTCTCTCTCTCTTGCGTATCTCTCTCTTTCATCAATGTTTATGCCGCTGACAACAAAAGAAATTAAATTGCCAACACTGAAATTCAATTGTATCTGTGTCTTGTCTTCCTTTGGCCACACTCAAAATTCTTCCAAGCTGCTGGCAGTCGCCTGTCGCCGGGCGGCTTTGGGGCGTGGCATGACGACATCTTGAATGGTTATTGCCGCTGACTTATTGGGGCATGGCATTGATTTTTTTTGTTGTCCCTTTGTTGCCCTGTGGGGCCTTTGTGGGGCACAATTGTACGAGGAAGTAAACATTTTCGGCACTTTCAATTTATTAAAAGGCGCGTCAGGCAGCCATAAAAAAGGTCAATGATTATTATGTTTTCCATGCAAAATACCAGGAGTGTTTGCCCCCCCCCAGCCCCATACACCCACCCACCAGGCACTGCCCAACCATTTCGTGAGGAGCAGTGGACAAAAATAGAGACAGCTCCATGGCTGGATGGTGTACAGCCATCAGCCATCAGCCATGGGACATGGCAATTTGTTTGGATTGGCATTGAGGCGGTTTTGAAGTAGCTGCCTCAACTCGCTTTTGATGGCATTTTTGTGGTGCTTCTCCGTTCAGGTTCAAAGCGACCCAACCAACCCGACCCCCGAGCCCCGCCGTTGCCATTGACTGCACTGCACTGATTGGCCCTAATAGTTCGCAACGAGACTGAATCATTCAGTATCTGAAATTTAAAGTTCTGCCCGGCCCGGCCTGGCCCGGCTCGGCTCTGTTGGCGATTTAATTCACATTGCGAATTGGTTGCCATTTGCCTTTCGTTCGTGCCTTTTCCTGCCATAAATCAACATTTAACACAACCTGAATATCCGATTTTTCCATTTTCCATTGCCAGTTTTCCATTCTCCATTCTGCATTTTCTTTTCTGTTTCATTTCGCGACAAAGCCTACTTTGTAGCGCTTAAACTGCAATTAAAAACATTAAATGTGCGCATAATTAAATACGTTGCCCTCTTTATGACACATTAACATATTTGCATATGGCATTTTAAAAACTATAACCGCCACCATATCGCCCCTCCTCCCTATCCGATCTCATTGGTTGCACATATTTAATGAAGCCCGACAAGAGCAAGCGATTAACCAGGGAGCCACGAAGCAGTCCGTGTTCGCCCCTGCCTCTGCCCCTGCCAGTGCCCCTGCGCGTGTCGCGGCTGCAAACATTTGCCCTTTTGGGGCCCCATGTCCAATAGGGCCAACGGCATGATGACCATGTCACATTTGCATTCCAAAGGCAATGGCCACCCCACCACACCACACCACACACCCCCCCCTCAAGTGTGTCGTTGTCCAACTGCCATCTAATTCGGATTTGCTGCGGCGCATAGTTGCAGCAGGGACAGGGTGCATGGGGCATGGGTATGATATCCGAGAGATGCATTCATCAGACGCATTCGCATTCGCATTCACATTCGGTGCATTCGATTACAGCATGCGTATAATTGTCCAATGCTAATCAAAGCGAAATCGTGCCCAAGCCAGCGGCCAAATCGATTAACATGCCAAGGCATTGTCTGAGATACATTTGCACGGGGACGCTTCGGCCATTATCCAGGCCGCAAATGCCTGACTTGACCCATTGGCATGGCAGGCAACTAATCATCCCAGGGTTATACTCGGGGCTCATCCATAGCACATGCAATGTAAAAACAGCTTCAAAAGTGATTTACACGACAATGTAAATGCACAATTGGGGCACTTAAAACAGGAGAATTCTGCGACTTGAATGTTTTATTATTTAAAGATTATTTTCCCACATCTGAGTTCTTTCACTATTTTCCTCCATATATATCTTTTTTTTTTGCGTAGTATGTTTTGCGCAGTGTAGTGAAACTTTCGCATCGTGGCGGGACACAAATTAAATTGCATTAGAAATGTCTTTAATTGACACCAAGGTAACGCATAAATTTCAATTGGGGCTCCTCCGTGTGTGACAAAGTTACAGAAGCACCCAGAAAGAGAGACAGAGAGAGACAGTGAAATAGCCAGATAGATGGAAAGAGATGGAAACTGACAGCATGTAACCGGAAATTGTGAGAGTTCTATGGGAGGATGACAAGAGAGGAGAGTGTAGAGATACGGCCGCACTCGGCATGTGCGAGAGAATTATTATCTTGTACTTGGCCATGTCAAAGGAAATTTGCATTTTTCGAAAGGGCGGCAAACAGCAGCCGAGGCACCAGCCGGAGAGGTGTGACAGTAGCCCGACAGGGCTCTCTGTGGTGCGATGTCAACGTGTTCGTCGTGCTCTCGGCGCTACCAATACCAAATTGTCTGCCACAATAGACTGACAAGGTGCTAGATTGCATGCACCCCCCTGCCCGACCGTATGGGTGGAGTGTCCGTGTCCGTGTCCGTGTCCTTCTGAATGCTTGTTCTGTGTGTGTTTTAAATAGAGCAACAAGGTGCATTGACAATGAGCTGAGAGCTGCCAGCAAATGTGACACAGATAGAAACTTTTAAGTGCACAGCCCAAAACAATTGCAGGCCCAGGAGTAAATGTGAAATAAAACCTGCCTCTAAGACCTGATGTGGCTTGGTTGTGGTTTAATTAAGGCCGTTGTACCCTTTGATTCGCACTACTTTGACCTTTAGCCACTGTTTTGCAGCGGGCATACATATAAGAATAATTTATAGAATTAGGCAAACTAATCCACCATTTAATCCCTTTTTTGTAGAAATTAATTAGTTGAACGCTTTCAGCTCTTTTTTCCCAGGGGATAATTTAGAGCTTAGTTCGTGAATATGGCCTTGAATCCGCCGTAAATGTAGAATTTCATTCATTTACAGCTCTCTCGGAAGACCAAACATAACATTACACACACACATTTCCCTCCCGTGCCACCTCAGCCGCTACTTCTCGCATTTAATTGTGCGGTTTCTCAGCCATTTTTATGTGTTTTAATTTTCATTGGAGCACTAAAAACATGTCAGCGTCGTCAATGTCAGTCAGACCCCATCTGGTCTCCCTCTTCAAGGGGGCGAAAGCAATCCAGGGCAACGCTGCGAGGTGGGGAGCCACAACAAGAGTCTGAAGAGGCTAATAAACACTTTTATAAAATTCTCGAATCGCACGTGTTGCGTTTGTCAAGGGGTTGGCTGTGGCTGTGGTGCTGCTGCTGGCACGACATGGAGACATACAATACAATAAAACTGCTAAGTGCATGGGCATGTTGTGCCATATAGCTCCATATAGCTCCATCTAGCTGCTGTATGCATTAATCGAGGTGTGCTGCATGCTGCATGCTGCATGCTGCTGCCCATAAAATCCAAGTGGTGAAGTGTGCGTTTGTGGGGGGATCAGGAAAAGGAAAAGGAAAAAGGGGCATTGGAAGTGGCATCGATAAGCTGCCAGAAACAGTGCAGCGCGTGTGCCACATAAAAATGGCATTTTGACATGGCCACCGAGTGGTCCCGTGAAGAGGGCGAGAACCAGCGAGGCTAATAAGCATTATGAATGCTCTCCATGATGTCATTGCACTTGAGGGGATCTAAACACCCGGTACTGTGTGGGTATATTGTATTCGCTTGTTGTACGTAACAGACATAAAGTTAAGCCTAAGCTGCAGCAGTCCATATAAGTGGTATTATCACCTGGATCTGGGAGACTTGTTTTGACGAATATTCCCTTGAATATATGGCTATGAGAGCTAAGCAGGGATAGCTGGTATTTCATAGTGCATCGACTGTATATGTAATGGACAGCGGCCTTCAGCCGGCTCAGCCGGGGTGTCCTTACAAAATGCTGCAATTGAAAGCCAGAAAATGGGTTGTGTGTTGCTTGAACGGCTGCCAATCCAGGGGTAGCAAAAAGTAATTGAAACTTAAATAAACAGAATGCTGGAGCAGCGACCGCAGGGCCGAGTGCAAACAGTAGCAAAAAACAGAAACAGTAACGGAACGGGTTAAGTGGCCGCATCCTCACAGTGCAGTGCAGTGCAGGGAGTTGCATGCAGCAGCAGTTTGAATGAGGCCACATAATACACAAGGAGTGGAGTGGAGTGGAGCGGAGATCGACATGCTCATTCAGGCTCAAGTGCCTGCCTGCCACTTGTGCCACAGCCTCATTAGCACAAACAAAAAATTTGCGCACACAAAGAGCCCGTTTTGTTCTTGTTCTTGTCATTATTATTATTATTATTATGATGCTCGTTTTTGTATTTCTACGTACTACTCCTTTTCTTTTATATTCTTTTTTTTGCTGCTGTTTTTGATGATTTGATATTGTTTATCATATTTGCTTTGGCTTTGGCTTTGCCTTTGGATAGGGCTTCCTGTGGGCAGGCTGGCAGCATGGCAGCATGTTGCCAGGCTTCCCCAGAACATGTTGCTACCAGAACAGAAAACATTTTCCAGCGTGCTAATTTTGGAAATGCTCGCTCCCTCCTAACGTATCTTGTTTTCGGGGTGTGTTCTTGCGGCTGTCCTCCACTGTCTCGCCTTGATGAGTTTTCATTCGTTTGTCAACTTGTCGTAGGCGCGGATTGTTCTCTCTGTATCTTCGCTCGCTCGCCGCTTCGGTCCGTGTTTAGTCGGGTTCGGGTTCGGGTTTGGGGATGTGCGTCTGCTTCTGCCACTGCCACTGCCACTGCTGGTGGGTCTTGTTTACACGCCAAATAACGCGTCTTTGCGGCAGCGTTCGCCACCGTGACAGCTGTGGATCATTTCGGTCATGCATTTTGAGAGCTGTTTAATTATACAACAACTAAACATTGTTTATTATTCATTCCGACTTGCAGCTTGCAACTTCCGGCAACAGCAGCTGGACCCAGCGTACCATCCAGCCCAGCAAATTTAAGAGAGTGCGAACTGAAGGAAATTACCAAAGCCAAATGCATTTCGTCTAAATAAATCGCAAAAATAAAAAAGAAAAGAAAATAAACCAGACCGACAATTAAAAGGCGGAAATCTAAATGAATAAACAATCGATTGATTGTCGGCAAAATGTGCAAATTCGTGGAGTGCAAATCAAAAGCAAACTCGAGTGAAAGTGAAAAATTGAGGCCTCAAGAAATTATTAATTACCGCAGTGCTTGTTAGCGGAATTCACCCACAGAGGCAGACATTTTGTTTATGAGCCAATTTGCCAGCCCCACCCAGGCCACATCAGGCTGAAGCGCGGAGAGACATCTACAATTTGCATATTCCACAGCCCAGTCGGACCCCAACCTACCCCATATACTCGTAAATACATAGCACAGCACAGAAGAGAACAGAACAGAACAGACAGCGCGGCGTGTGAAGTTGAAGTGTTTATTAAATAGTCTGCCCGCAAATGTCGGGCGTCTTCTGAGCGAAAGACAGCGCCTGCCCCCAGCCCACGAAGTACTCCCCAGCATGTTGGAGTTGCAACTGCGCAAAGATTTGTCAGCGAACTCCAGCGATATCCACAAAATGAGACACCCAAAGGCATTGGATACGGGCCACAGACAGCACCGCCGGAGACGCGAGCCCGACTACAGAGCCTTCCAGACGAGTCTCTGCCTTGTGCTGCTCGCCGTTTTCCTGCTGAGCAATGGTAAGTCGAAACTTTGTTTGGTATTATATTACTGATAGTGATAAAATTCGAATATTGGCTGCATAAAATATAGCGAGAGCTGCCTGGGTGATAACTTCTTTAAACACATTCATAGATAGATAAATTTTCAGTTCTCAATAGGCCACAAAACTCCCACCATGCACAAGTTCTTTTAAATTTCTCGCTCATAGCGGAAACAAATTGAAAATCATCAAACACGATCTTAGACTCTTGACTATCGAATACACATTTCAAGAGTTTCATTTGTTCAATTTAATGAAGTATATTTGTGGGGCTTCCCTCGTCCACCACTTCCGAGCTGTCATCCCTTTTCAAGAAGTATCTGGGCATCTGGGAGGGAGCATGGCCGGGTGGCTGGGACAATGTCAACCACAATCACATTGCCCGCCCCAGTGGCAGTTTCATTCGACCAACACTCGAACTCGAGCCCTTAACTCAATTGACTGCTCCACTTTTTGCCAAAGTCCGCTGGAAGCCGCCATCACTGCTCACTGCTGTGGCTGCTCAATTAAATGCCTGGAGTGTGTCCGCCAGATTCCCAAGCAGCGGAAAACTTTCAGCAGCTCCAAACTCAAGCGCCAACTCCAATAAAAATCGAACAGCAGCAGCAGCAGGCAGGCAGGCCCTAAGGGGTGTGAGTGAAGTGATACTCCCACCCTTTGAGATAGATAGACGCAAACAATCGATACTTGAAATACTTCGGGTGTGGGAGTGGGTGTGGGAGTGGGGGCTGCACATAAAATGACATTCGAAACAACACTTTGGCATAATAAAATACAAATAAAAGGGGCACAAGAGCAGCAACACAGCTCCAACGCCAATTGATTGACGAAGTGGCAAAGATCTACTTGAGAGAGCGGAGCGGCACGGAGTGGAGCGGAGCGGAGCGGAGTGGTGAGTAGAGCAATAAAAAGGATTGACAGCCCGAGGCAGTCGGTCGGCGATATCTAAGCGGCGGAGAGGTGTCAGACACACGGACAGACAGGGGACAGCCACTCGAATGGCTGGCTGTCAATGACAATCAGCAACGGAATCAGATTCCGTACACTCACTTCTAAATGCCTGTTCTCTGATGGTGACAGGAGAAGCCGTAGCATAGCCATAGCCAGGGTCGGAGTCGCATTCGCATTCGAAGCTGGAGCTGGAGCGCTAATGCTGTTGCTGAACGCTTGTAAAAAGTTTTTAATGACGCCCTCTCCTGCCGTGTCGCGGCCTGTTCCCATTCCCATTCGAAACGAGCTGAACAGAACAGAACAGAGCCATTCCATTCCATTCCGTATCCACATTTGCCAAGGCAAATCTGTGTCAGGCTGTTGCTTCATTACTCCAGTGTCGACGTGGCCGCTAATGAACAGCTTAAGCAGCAACCCCACCCGTCCAAATGTGCATCGCATTTCAATGGGAGACGGAGCCGAAGCCAGAGCCGGAGCCCCGCCATTGAAGTGCATTTTTCGGCTATCGAGGAGTTGGGGCATCGAATGGGGGAGAGATTTGTGTGCCGTGATCCGTGACTTGTTCGGAGCTGTTGTTGCATTGGCTCTTTGGCACTCAGGGTATTGTGAGGATTTGCAGAGTGGCGCAGTGCTGGGGTGTCGGCGTGTCGGGGTGTCGGGGTGTCGGGGAGGGGTGTGCATCAGCAGTGCTTTATTAGATGGAGGTGAGGGCCGGGACTCCTCTAATGGATGGGGGTTAATGGGTTAGGGTTAGCAGCAAAGTGGTGTCTGTATTTGTAAAAGTGAATTAGAACCAAAAATGGGCATCGATTGTGGTGATGTATGGCTGAGTGTGGCAATAACTATTCCCCCAAGCAACTCCCCAGAGTATGCCCATAAATCAGAGCACAAAGAGTGCTTCGCATTAGTTATAGATTTCATTTGATTTGGTTATAGATTTATATTTCTTGGCCCACTGACTGCATGAACTTTTTTACATTAATTACAAGCTGCACCGAATCCGCATAGTCCTGACCATATTCCCATAAAATCAGTCAGACAATACTACGATCTATTTATAATCAATTTCGCCATATATCAAAATGCAATTCGACTCTAATTTTGACATTCATTCAAAAATATATAACAACTAAAAATGCGATTTGCTCTGCCCAAATCAATTTGTCGAATTCCCCCATGCAGAATGGCAGTACTGGCAGTACGACGACTAGTAGACGCCCAGTAATTAGAGTTATTTATATTAATTCCCACTACTTGAGCAAGCTGCCTTTAGTAGCAATTTTGTGACAGTTTAATTAGTAAATTTTGTTTGATTTGTGTTTTGATTTTTGCTTTGCATAAGTTTATCCTCACGCTCCAACGACAACAGGGTACTAAGCAGCCATACACGATTCTTGTCATGTCATTGAAATATTAATTGCAAAATAATATTGACAAGCGGCAAACAAATTACAAATAAAATATGTAAATTTCCTTGCGGTTCTCCGCTATGTAAATTCTGCCAGTGCCATTTGAATTTCAAAACCAATGCGGCACTGCCTGCTGGGCGAGATGTGGGCGCGGTGCATAGTGCAACATTTTTCGGCGGCTGCCCAACAATATATGCCAGTCACGCAAAAATTGCATAAAGGTAAATAGATCGAAGCTGGCGAAGGGGTGGCAAAATAGTCGTACAGATGGTGCTCCTCTGGCTTGGGGTTTTGGGGCAGGTTTTGGGCACCGCGTCTGTGTTTGTATATTATTAATGCAATTTGTAATTATTTGTTGCCTGCATACAGGACAGGAGTCGTGCGAGAACACGCTATACCCCCCGATCTGTATCTCTGTTTGTTTGTTCGCTTGTTTTGTGTTCTCAAATGTTTGTTTGTTTGTTGGTTTGTTTATTTGTTTGCTTTTGCCATAAAACGCAATTATCGCGCACAAAGAACAAAGCTTGCACTATGCTTTGCAGCCAAACGCAGCCAGGGGTCACAGTCCCCCCACGCCCCTTTGCCACTCTGGCTGCTGCCCTATTAGATTCCCCACTTTGGGAGTTTCGGAAGAGCTGCTGCAAAAGTTGTCGCCGGCATCAGAGCATTTTCGCATTTTCGCATTTTCGTAATTCGCATTTCGCATTTTCGCATTTGCGTTGCCATAATTAACTTATTTTGTACATTAGCAACAGATTTTGTTTATTAACGCATGTGCGCTCGCTCTCAGTAATGCGATCCCGCCTCATTCTGTCCCATTCTGTTGCCCATCCAAGCCATGACGAGCGCACCGCCCAGCCCAGCCCAGGAGCGGCTTTAATGTGTGCGGGGACAGGGACTGGGACTGGGACCATGGGGCGCATACTTATCTTTTGGCATTGCGAAGCGAGTTTATTTGTTTTCTGCTTGTGGTTGGCTGACTGCGAAGCTTGGGTGTTTTTGGGGGGCTGGGGTTTGGTTGTTGGCTTGGGTGGTATTTTGTGCGGCTGCTGTCGCATAATTTATTTATCATTAGCAAAATTTGGCAAGCATTGGTATTCTCCCCTTTCCACCGGCCGCCACAAGAAGTTGCCGCCGCTGAAAGTGTCTGTGTATTTGGCTAAATAGTTGAAATAATTAGGCTCATTAGAACTTTTGTAGGTTTCTGGCCGGGCTCGAGTGCTCCCAATGAGTGTTTCCTTGATTGACAAGTGCAAATTGGTATTAATGCCAGAGTACTTGGAACTGGCACAAAAGGGGAGAGAGCAACGAGAAGGAACAAAGGGGGAACATTAAGTCTTTAAATTGATGTTATCTGACAATCATTGGAAAAGTTTTCCATTTCAAAAAAGGGAAGCTATTTGCTGCCATTAAAAATATGCATAAATGTTTGAGCATAATTCGAATTCTCTATGAAAAGATTTGGCTTACAGACTGAAATAGTTTAATGGCTACAAATTGAAGTAAAATTAAAATTTAGCCACTATTAAAATTTGAAATAATATCCAGTCTAGTCCAAAAATATAATTAGGAAAAAGTGATTAGTGCAAGTGTTATTTTTTGGGGCGTTTCCAATCAATTGCCCGTCAAAGTGCGCTGCCATATTTTTGCAAATTCATGCAAATATTTGGCTGGTAACGAAATTTTCTGATATTTAAACTCCATCTGGCAATGGTTCACGTTTAATTAAGCAACGTTGCCAAAAAATATCTAGGACAAATCACAGCGACAAAATCGCAACTGGCGCACCAAATATTTCGCTGCTTTTGTTTTCCGTTTGTTTGTTGGTTGTTGGTTTTTGTTGGCTGCCAGGACCCGAAACACTGCCCTGTCCTGCACTGCCCGGACTGTCCTTGTTGTTTTGCAGAGTCCGAGTGGAAACTGTGTGCGAAGTGCAACAGCCGCAACAAAAACGACATAAACTTTTAACAATTGCAAAACCAAATAAACAAAACGAAGCGGAGGGCCGGGCCGGGCCGGGCCGAACAAAAAGAAAACACTGAAAACGGCTGCGGGCTATAAATCTGCAATGGCTGTGGGGTTCCAGGGGTGTGTCGGGGGATGAGCTGTGGGTAGGTGTAGCATGGGCGTTTGCATAAACCCATTTACACACACAAAGGCAAACAGACACACACAGATGCAGTCACACATGCAGAGACTGTATGCAGTGAGAGAAAGAGAGCGAGCGAGCGAGCGAGCGCCTGCTGCGTAAATAACTAATAAGGCTCGAGGATAAATTTCAAGTGCAATTTGGTGAGTATCGTAACCAAATACGAGCACAACATGTAACAAACAATAAGGAATTATTGCGCAGACCGAAGCATTGCATACCCTTTCAGAACGATTATTTTCTTTGCTATTAGCTAGGAAAGAATTGTTCGAAAATATTTAAAATTTATAAATGGATAAATTTTGTATTGGTATATCATGCTTGAGCTCGATAATGTTTCCAGTAATGTTTTCCTAAACAAATTTCAAAAATCATAGCACCCTATGCAAGGGTACACAGTTGCCCGATGAACTGGTGCAGGACCAGGACCAGCACAGGGACAGAGCAAAAACTCACACAAAAGTTAAG